CCTATTCTTGGATATCAAGAATGAATAGAGATTAGATAGAATTTCAATGCTATGAGGCAGTAAAACTACAATTTTAATAATAATTCTTGATCTTAACATTTTGAACATCTTACTAAAGTACTAATACTATAGAACTCATTTTTCCCTCAGACATTCCAATTAAAATTATATGAAATCATAATTATACTAGTGTAACCCGCGCCTTCGGCCGGGACTTCACTATCGCAGTTGAATTGCACAAGTATAAACGGTGCAAAAGCATGAACTCGCCCAGTCGAAACAGGCTGCATTGCTAAATTACCTAATTATATATCAGAGCTGTAATCAGGGGAGCTGTAAATGGGGAGAGAGAGAGAGAGAGAGAGAGAGAGAGAGAGAGAGAGAGAGAGAGAGAGAGAGAGAGAGAGAGAGAGAGAGAGAGAGAGAGAGAGAGAGAGAGAGAGAGAGAGAGAGACGCTTTAGTACCACGTTTGGGATACAAAACCATTTATTAAACCACTTACCGCCGGCCTATTTAGAAAAGCTTTGCTTATCGGCTTCGTCAGAGTTTTGTCTAATCTATACCAAAAAAAACCAGTCCCATAACTCTTACCGTTTTCTTAATCAAGCCGCTCGGAAATTACCCACACACAGACATACACACATTCTGGGATTATTAGCATAGATGACATAGTGTACAGATTTGGCGTTACAATGACCGATATAATTCTTCAAAATTAACTAAAAACATGGTTAAATTGAAAATTCAATTAAAAACAACTGTGAAGTCAGGACCTAGAAGGCAGTCTCTGCCACGATGTCTTTACTAGCGTCAGGTCTGATATTTTCTAGTTCCACCGGTTCAGGGTTGATGGCTTGTGCGGGAGTTCGGCTTTTAGTCGTACATGATTCTGGATCCGCTCGGCTGTTCATGTTGGAAGTTTTATTGAAAATACCAACCCTTCTGCAAATTATCAGACACTGTTCAGAAATATAATCTAGGACTCCACTAGTGTCATATAACAGAGGGTTGATGACAGAATTCAAAGGGAGAATTATTATTGAGAATAGAGAATACAACTTAGTCGCATCCATCACTTCAAGATAGTGAAGACTGCAGACAACTATGAAAGGGACCCAGCAAAGGAAATCAGTCAGAACCATCAAAGTTATCTTTCGGTTTAGTGCACTGTTCTTTTTTGGTTTTTTCACTCGAGATTTTGACTTATTTGCTGTGCTGCCTTGTGATGCTTTTCTTGAATTTTCTACTTTCATATGAATTAACATATAAGATATGCTAATAATGAGGAAACATATGGCATTTTGGATGATGACGAACCAACTGAAATTCTTTTGAGGATCGTTCTTCCGTACGAAGAACTTGAACAGACAAACGCCAGAGTTTCCATAAAAGTTAACTTTGCTGCCAATCACGGGACTATTGTCAAATCTAGTGAACATATCAGCTACTAACTCCCTGATCTGATTCCAGCTGAGACTTTTTACTTTGAATTTACCATAATGTTCTCTGAGAATGGCTATGTGTTTGTTTTTATCATAAGATCCTGTGAACATTGGATTTTTGAAATAAGCAAGTCCATTGACAAAGTAATCTTCAAGTTGGGGAAGCAAAGGAATGAACGCAATAGTTGCAGCAACTAAAACCATACTGGAACAGACAAGTACTATCACTGTTTTTCCTTTCCAAGTCATACTTCCTCTCAGGCTTGAGTTCTTGAGACAGAATACTCGAAGAATACTCAGTAAGGTCATCGAGTAAAGGGAGAGTTGGGAACCAAATGTATTGAGAATTCCCAGGGCAGAGCAAGCATCAGAAGTGAGCCATTTGTAGTAATCTTGACAGAATGTAGAGTCCCCATGCTGGTATTGATAGTTGACTATTGATATTCCGACAAGATACAAACCTACACACAGATCCCCTAATCCAATGAAGACAACCATAGCAAGGTTACTTATCTTGACCAAAGAATCTTCTCGAAATATCTGGACAAACGTGGTAGTTATAGTTATGAGGTTTAGTATCGTGGCAAGTAAACCAAGGATCCAGCAGCAGCCACTCAGAAACAATCCCTCCACAACTTCATAAGGATGTCTGCAGTCATTTCCACATTCGTCGCTGTGGTCCTCACAATCAAACTTCCCGTCACAATATCTACTCCAGGGTATACGGTCTTCTGTTATTCCAATGCAAGAAAATTGATTTGAGCAGTTATTTTCGTCGGACCAATCCCCACAATCGTTTGCAAGATTACAAATTTTATCCAAAGTTATACATGATCCACTATCACATTCAAACAACTGCAGTGCAGCATAAGTTGATTCTAATGATCCTATTTTTTGGACCAAGGAAAGGTAAGGATTTCCACTCTTTGGAGTGGCCACCGAACGAATTTCATTTTTACAAGAATCGTGTTTCAATTCTTTCAACCTGCAAGATGTTGCTAAGTTATTGCAAATGCCATGGCACGATGCCTCCACATAAGGCACTCCGTACAAAAATCGACAGTCAATCGTTTTGTTTGGAACAACAGTGATCCTTTGTTCCAGAACGCCGAAAACCTGGTCACTTTCGATTTTTCTACATCCATTTACAAGAACTGCCAGATTATGTAATCCAGAGATGCAATAACCTGGCCAAGTTGTTTGCAAACTTCCTGTTCCGGAGGGTTCAGTCCAAAAGATGTCTTGATTTCGGGCAACTCTACAGACCCGTTCCTCACTTCCACAGGATGGAATTCTGTCACAGAGAGTTTTGTAATCTAGCATTTCCCCAGTGCTGTTTGAACAGAAGTAAAACTTTTCGTTTGAGCAGTTGTCTGATCTGACTGAGCTCCAGTCATTTTCGTCGCCATGACAGTAGGTGTAATTTGTTGTATGATTTTCCCAAAATTCTGTGTTTTCATCTAATCCATCTGAACAATCTTTAACTCCATCATTTATCCAATCGCTAGGAATGAACCACTCTACATTTCCTACCCTTCTGATACATTTCTCTTCTTCCATTTCTTTACAAATGTCATCAATCTCGTCATATTTCGTGTCCGGGCAATCTATGCGATTATCACACATTTTGTGTTTATGAATATAACAGCCATGATCAAGATTACCACCATTATAAAGATCTCGACACTCTGCATCTATGAGTCATTGCAAAACCCAGACCTGATCTTACGGTTGAATAATGATGTATATTTATCTATCATATAAGCAGAACGAAGTTCGCAATCTACTAGATATTGCGATAAATTCGCTAACTTAGTACCCCCTTTGACTTTTATATAGCATTCTACAGCATTCTTTGATTCATCGGGACAGTTGATCTGATCTGAGAAGTCGCTGCAAACCGGCTTATACTTACCTCTCGAAAAGTTTGGGACCGAACACTTTTGGCGAGATTGCAATGGGCGTTTTTTTACCACTACCTTCCTTTTTGATCTATATCGATAATTACAAGATTCCTTACTATGAGACATACAATTCTCTTCGTCAGCTCCGTTGTTACAGTGTATTTTATCATCGCAAATCATGTGTGGTTCTATATAAACTTCTTTTGTTACACTTACAGTCTTCATTCTTTCTTTAAACGTCTTTTCACAAAACATGCCTATTCGATTTTCACTTTTGCAACGCTTATTATTGTTTCTTGATAACGCCTCATCAGCACAGTTGGAACAGTCGCACACGTCGTCGCATACCAAGCGATGTGGGACCGATTCATATTCAACAGTATCATGCAGTTTGCAGTCAAAATCTGACGTAATGCTGCAGCTTTCTTCATCAATTGATGTGTTCAAACAATCCTCTTGATCATTGCAAGTTATGTCAAAGTTGTCAACGGGGTGCGAATCACCTATGCTTTTGTTGTAGTATTCCACGAGTATGTTGCGGTTTTTTCTACTACACACATAATCTCCGCAAAGCATGCCATTCCAGCCATCTTGAACGTCATTATCATAGCCAATGTCATACATCTGCGTATGACCACAAATTTGATAGAATCCAGGATCTGAGTCACAGATCGTGTCAAATAAAACTATACCATCAATGCTGGATACTGAATAACTTCCTTCACCCTGAGTACATTTGAAGTACGTTTGGTTGTTTGAATCTTTACATTTTAATTTTAGGAATTGTCCTACTGGAACAACCTTGCAGGTTCCAGGATGGATTGCATGATCTGAAAATAATTTAGTATTATAAATAATAATATGTATATCACCTTTTTTCAGTTTCAGCACAGTAAGAAGTGTTCTACACAAATCTACTTGAAAAACAGCTCAGGCCACCGATAGAAAAAAAAACGTTTTACTTTCATAACAAATTGAAAATCAATACAAAATGTATGTAAATTTACATTAAAAATTGCTGACTGCATCAGCTAGTACGCACAAGTTGTTGTAGCACTGCTGGTAGTAGTATAATTGTAGTACTCATGGTCATCCTGGTTGGTAGAGTTTGTAGCAGGAGAGGTTGTAGAGGTTGTAGCAGGAGAGGTTGTTGCAGGAGACGTGTTCACTCTTGCCAATGTCAGTAGAGTGTATAAGAGCAGACGCTTCCAATGCACGGTAATGTTCTGGTCCATTTCCTTGAACAGTTCAATTTAACATTCAACAAAGGTACAAACTTGGCTAAATTAGAAATGTATTTATCCAAAAAATAAGTGCGAAAACATCATAATTAAACATTTATATTCAAGTTCAATTATGTTCCTATAGCACATAATATTGTCAATTGAAGACTGCTATAATAGATTGATTGATATTATTACGAATATTCAATACTCATGTCTCATAAGTAAGCACAGTGAATCGTGGGGATAAAATCATTTAGTGCTAACTGCTGACTAGACGTTTTTTCGATTGACCTCTAAGGTATCTATGATTGATTAAACTAATACTATAAATGATAACCAAGATATAATAATACATATCCTGCCAGATATCAAGTATGTTACATGTTCTAACAAAATTGAAAATGTCTAACTTATCCCACTTTATCAGGACGTGGTGGGGAAGATGGAGTCACACCTTCGAGAACAGACTCGACAGTCAAATGCAGCACAAGATAGGATCATTGCTGACGAGGCCAGATTAAGGAGTCTTCAGGTAATTGTAATTGAAACTATTTTATCAAATTCAAAAAATCTTTAATAACGATGAGCCCCAGCTCATGATCACACTGTGTGCGTTATGTAAAGAAGCACGCTAGAGCTGCACGCCATATATAATGTCCAGGTTCATTATAATATATAATGTAGTACTTCTAGTTCTAGGCAATGAGCTTGGTTGTGTCCCACAACCAAGCTCATTGCCTAGAAGTATTACATTACAGCTTGGTTCATGGGCATATGGCGTGTAGCTCTATAGTCTATACACCAAAACACAAAAAAAAGCAACCTAAAACGAGGTGCTCAGTGCCGCACTCATTATGGTGCTCTGTGTGCTGTGGCTTGCAGCAATATTGACACTCACTGTCATTATAAACTAACTTGTCCACACTCATGACAATACAAAATGCATACCTAATGATAGACTCTCATTAAAATCCTCGAATTCGCACTTCGCAGGGATAATCACACATCTGACGAAACGTTTAGTAAACGTTTTGTATATACAGTCTGGAACGTTCAGTCGTCCCCAGTCCTTATTGAATATATTGTTAGCAGTTTTCTCATTTACATTTCTCTCATTAGCTTTTCACAAAACTCAGGCATCTTGGGAAGCGGACAAAGCAGAGGAAGAGAGGAAATTAGAGAAAGGTCGGGAGCATTTAGAGAGATCTAAGAGTTCCCTCCTCTCCGAACAAAGGGAACAAATGGAGCTTTTGTATAAGGAGAGAAAGGACATTTCCAGGGAGAAAAGTAGGTTAGCTACTGCATCACAAAAAGCTACGGAGAAGGTAGCTCAAGGTGGGTCACTAGGCACGTTTTCTAACCCGCTATAAGTATAACCTGTATCTGTTTTCAGGATCATTTGTCTTGATAAGTTTTTAAATGCTAATTTGGAGTACCGCACCTGCGCCCATGCATCAATTTTGTAAAAGTTAAATGTTGAGAAAGATATATGATCTGAGACCTCTAATTTTATCAATATTATTGCGCCTCTATTTCACACGGCTCAATCCTTAAAACTATAACAGGTGCTGTGAAGCAACTCGATATCGAAGCACAAGCCCAGTCTATATTTGATCAAACGAAGAGGAAAGCCACCAAGATAACCGCAGAAATGGAGAGACTTGACAACGAGAAGAAAACTTACTTTAGAGATAGGGATGATTTAGATGCTGAGAAGGAAAGGTTAGCTCCTGCTCAAATTGGGCCATCATTGCACGGGTGGAACCTTTTTAATGAGTAACGATAGAAAATAACCTTATCATATTATGTATACATGGTTACTAGTTATCAACATTCGCTTATTGACCTTCGCAAGTGAATAAATATGTACAAGGTCGTAATACGGTTCTCTGAACTAGATAACAAAAGATGAAAAAGTTGTACGCTTGTTAACTTTAAAATCTGGAGATCTTGTCATTTCAGTTACAAGATTTTTAAATTGTGTTTTTTGTGGACACTACAATAATATACTCCAAAGGTTGACAAAGTTAGCAGAGAAGTTGTCAGCCCGGGTCTCAGAGACGGAACACTACGGAGAGGCCCTGAATAAAGCTCGAACAGAATGCTGTGTTGTACAACAACAGCTAGCCAAGCTGGAAACCGAACTAAGGATGAGGGAAGACGAGATTAAGATTAGAGAGAAATCTTTGAAAGTAAGACTACTGTTCTTCTTAATTAAATAAAATCTTTACTGCCCTCATGAAAAAAAATTCCATTTATCAATGACGAAACCGAGTAAGAAACAAACATGACATACATGATACACAGCATTGAACAATAACAGCATGTATATTACTATCAGAGAGCTAAAAGAGAGCTAAATCCTAAAAGAGAGCTAAAAATCATGTTGCAGGACGCCACCAGCTCGATCACAGCTGAGCGAGACCTCCTGAAACTGGACCGACAAAGTCTGAACGCGGAGGGAATACAGTGTCCCGCCTGTCAGATGTACCGTCCCAGAACCAGACAAATATCAGGCAGTCCCCTAAGGTAACAGTCAGCTAATCACCATGTTCCCAAGTTATAAGTGCCAGTTTCAGGAGCAGCATTACCATACATCTCAGACTACCCCATTGTTCTCCTGGAGCAACAGACCTTCCTGGTATCTTACCACTTACCAGTGTGCTAATAAGAACACTGTATTTCGGTATTACACTTTGTGACGGCACTAAAGGGAACATTAGGGGAACAATCATGGTCTAGAGATGCACCTCAACAGTAACCTCTGTAACCCAGATATTATCATATTCATTTGATTACATGGTCGCCTTTCATTCATGGAGTTCGCGTAGATCAGAGGTGAGAGGTGGTTCGAGAGTTCAACAAATTAATGTTAGCTCGCACTGTTATCATATCACCTCATGGTCAATTGGTCATGTTAATTATCAGATCTGGTAATCTGTACATCAAAATTTTAATACTCTGAGCAGACTCTACTGCAAGTGTAACTCACAATGAAGAAGGTTTGTTAAACTTAAGGGGGGGGGGGGGGGGGGGGGGTTCACCCTGATTTTTTGTGGAACATGGTTTCGAGATAGCAGTTGACCAACAAACTAGGACCGCGACCGGTGACCAAACTTTTGAGGGGGTCCCGGACCCCAATTACCGCCAAACGGTGCCCGCGGGGCAGCCACGCCCATATTTGGTCCAAATTAGGCCCAATTTAGCCAAATACCCTGGACATGCCCAAAATCCAGATTTTAGGTGCTCTACTTGTAGCTAGTGGTCCCTTGAACTCGTACATGAATTTTCATCAAATATCAATATTTTTGAGTGAAACCAACTTTATATGAAAGGTAAGCCTATATTACACATTCTCTATATGATTATCAGCGCTGTATCTAACTAACTGTGTATTCTGTGTTCAAATAATCGCAAAATGTGAACAAAATCGCCCATATCTCAGTTCGCGATATTTGCAAAACTGATTTCGCTCAAAACAATAGAACTCAATAGGGTTTCAATATTTTTACATGAAATTTTCAGAATCAACGTAGAATCGCATGTCGATCTTAAGTTTTGGGACAGAATTTTAAGTTAGGCCTTTTTAAAAATTGGCGGCCAGCCACTAGCCAGATTCTGAATTTTGCATTGCAAATTTTGGAATTTGGCCGCCAAATTTTTTTAAAGGCCTAACTCAAAATTCTGTCCCAAAACTTAAGGTCGAAATGCGATTCTACGTTGATTCTAATTCTGAAAATTTCATGTAAAAATATTGAAACCCTATTGAGTTCTATTGTTTTGAGCGAAATCAGTTTTGCAAATATTGCGAACTGAGATATAGGCGATTTTGTTCATTTTTTGCGATTATTTGAACACAGAATCCACAGTTAGGTCCATAAATTGGTCAAATACACAGCCCATATTTGACCAATTTATGGGCTAAAATCGATCAAATTTGGTGCGTATGCCCAAATATGGTCATATGGTTTTTGGATCATTACTCAGTCATTTTTTGTCCAATCTTGATGAAAATTCATATACGAGTTCAAGGGACCACTAGCTACAAGTAGAGCACCTAAAATCTGGATTTTGGGCATGTTCAGGGTATTGGCTAAATTTGGCCTAATTTGGACCAAATATAGGCGTGACTGCCCCGCGGGCACCGTTTGGCGGTTGGGGTCCGGGACCCCCTCAAAAGTTCAGTCACCGGTCCTAGTTTGTTGGTATCTCAAAACCAAGTTCACAAAAAAATCAGGATGAAGTGTGAACCCCCATTAAGGTATAAAACTTAGCTTATAGACTCCATGGTTATTGGTTTATGGTTGTTAACGCATATGCTTCCAACGATCGTTACTCATAGATGTAGTCAGTAAACTTCAGAGCACTCAGCACAGACCATCAATTTAAAACCTTACCGGTCTTTATTTGGTCAGACATTAAGTTAATGTGGGCGAGCTCAGTAATTTAGGTCCGATAAGGTACATTTTTATTTTAAAGCTTCCAAATCTCTTGTGCAAGAAATGAAGTAAACAAGTTTCTACTGTAACATTGAACTCCAATCATGTTGAACTTAACAGGTCGAGTAGTCCAATACGACAGAACCAGATCTCACCGACCCCTGGAGGAGGACACAGTCCAATTAGTCCGCTCAACCTGAGTCTACTCTCAAACGGCTCGTTTCTTGGCTCCAAGTAAGACAAAGATATATATATATATATATATAATATATATTATATATGCACAATAGCTTTCCACCGGCCATTTTGGGTGTAAAAATATGACAAAGTATTCGATATACAATGCAAAGACCAAATCTTTGACTGTAGAACCTGACGCAACTCCACAGTGTACGTTCAATGTTGCTCAGGATCTTTAAATTATTAAAAACCACCTATTTTTTATAATTCCACCATATTTTGTATTTACAATTTTACCTGCTATTTTAAAAATCCAAACAGGAACCCTTCTTTCAGGTATAACAAATACCCGAGTCCTTCTGTCCTGGAACTGACAGGAAGCTTACAACGATTTAACGCACTCTCGGTACTAGACAGACAGGCACTTCAGCATCAGAAGGAGAAGTTATCACGGTTCAAGGATATGGACAGACAACTCCTCAACCCTTCTTACTCCTAAGTCCTACTGCATAAAATGAGACATATGTAGCCTCCGTTGTCGCACTTCGAGAGTCATAGATTATTACAGATTACAGAACTCCAGCCCACGGGAGTACTACTACAAGTAGTACCGGCCACGAATTTCGTGTGTGACAGGGAAATATGGTCCGACACCGCGAACTATACTAGGCAGCCCCGGTGGACAATATAATGAACTTATAGTGGACTAGTGTACTACTAGTGTACTACTATAGTGGCGACTAGAAAACGACTTTGTATATCACGCATCTGCGGGTCTAAAACAAGATACTTTTGTGTACATAGCTTGTTAATCTTTGTGAAGTTAAAAGCAGAAGTCAATGTAATATTCATCACTTTGAGTGCCTTCTGAAGGACGATCGCGATGGTATCAAAAATGTATTTATGTTATTATATCTTAACTTGGAGTTAGGACAGAGTGATCGGTTGTATCATAATAAAATCATCCATCAGTGTTTCTATTTTTAACTTTTAATATCGATTTTACCACCTGGATTACTTTTGTACAATAACGGGGATTGATAACTTTTTCAAACAAGTTGTGTCTTCATGTAAATAAGCACTCCCTTTACTGCTCACAATTGAAATAGAGACTTAAGACGCAAAAATTGACACCTTGTTCTTTATTCAAGACCAGAATGATGATAGAATTCAACTGTGTATACTGTAATTAGCGCCAGGATAATGCTAGAAACAATAATGATGGTTCTCCTAGGACCGAGTCCACAGGTTGATTTAGAAAATTAGGTCTCTATTACAAGGTCAAATATGACAGGAAAGGCGTTGTTCTGATTTTCAACAGATTTATTTTGATTTATCAAGTGAAAGAATCGTTTTTATTTCACAATGAGATATACGGTCAAATAGATTTTACAGCATATACAATAAAAAAGAAATATCCCTTAAAAATATAAAAACAATTTTCCGGCTAATAAAATCATCTTTAAATTGGTTCCGTTTACGTTTCTGTCTTCCGTATCAGACGGGAGTTGGGAGAATTTCAAATTAGCTATTTTTGACATTTGATCCAGAGGAATCTATCATTCTATGGTAAACTGATCGTTAATTCAGTGGTCTTCATTGAGCAGACAAAACGTTCACTACTCAAGGCGGAGGACAGTTTCTGTGGTGGATTTACTCTATAGAACTTGAAGGTTGACCCCCTTAAATAACACCGAAATTATTTCCACAGAAAAAGCGCAAGACTACAAAACTACAATTGAATCTCTCTCAATCATCATCATACTCCTCCTCATCGGAATAATAACAATCACTGTCGTTATAATCATAATCATAATCAGAGTCAAGATTTAGATCGCCCATATTTGGGGCCTCTTCTATTGGTTTAGTTTTGAACGTGTACTCTGCCAGAGTCAACGGTATCGTCACTCCATCACCGTCCGCTAAAGTCTTGTTCTTTTCTATCAGATCCCTGAAAATGGCGTGGTTAAAGCTTATGTGCAATAAAATGTTACTTAGATACTCAGTGCAGAAAATATCGAAACAGATCATCTTAATTTTACATCAGAACAGCAATTTATTCATGACCGGTTAACAGCTTAGTCTGGCAATAGAATCAACCACGGTGGCGAAGCTCATTATACCATAAAATAGACAGCATTTTCGTTTTGATGCGGTAATGATTATTTTCGTCGACAATAAACCGCCACCATGATCAGTTGTTAAATTCGGTTTTTGTGACCTTTGAAATGAGAATAGTAAACATCATCTCGAATTGTTTAGCTGCTTAGAGAAACCGATTGTCATGTAAGGGACGAACCGAAGTATGAACCCGCAATGTGCTGACAAAGGGAGGTTCAAGGTTACCGGTTTGAGCAGGTTCCAAAACGTGGTGTCATCAAAATTCGTCGCGACCGGCAGTTGGTTAGTCAGCGCGCTCGTAGCGCGCATTTCAAAGTGCTGTCAATACAGAATTTAACTACGAATCTCGACATAAATAAGAGTGCTAACACTGCGCGCGTAAACGATTGTAAACAAAACTTCCGGAGAATACCTGCCAAACAAAACAGAGCGCACTGAATGGTTCGGCGGAGTCTCATGATGTATTTGTAAATATTACATCGTTATTTAAACTATCGATCATGCTAAATGGACTAGATGAGGTACTTGACCGGCGTACTGTCCAAGTCATAGAACGTGACCGAAACTGAGTGCTGAGTAGTTCTCAGACCATCTCAAATTTCAGACACCTGGCTTTCTACCAACATTTCCAGGAATGCACTGTTTATTGGTTAATTAAGACCCTTGAGTTGAACGTGGTATCACATCGTAATCCGTTTTAATATTTTTTTAAGAAATAGCAATTTCAAGTCACGTACTTTGGCAAAAATCCAAGAATATCGACCAATTGTATAGTAAGCCTCCCACTTTTCCTAAGTGTTAAGATCGCATTACAAATCTTGGCGTGCCAACACAACTCTACCGGAAAACTTAGTAATTAAATGTTACTTTGTGATAATATAAAGTGGCAAAGAATAGAAACTAACTTTATTCGATCGACGTATGCTGGATCGTTGTTAGTGTTCCATTTCCTGTACATGACAGCGGCGTCAACATTAGCCGGAGAGTTGATATTTGGTGAGTTTAACATGCTGGCTATACTTATCAACACGGTCCTGAAATATAAATCCGTTATTGAGCTGTTATGTGTATTATTAGTGTAAGGAGTGAAATGTGTTATATCACAACTGGGTGTAATGTGTAGTGTAATTTGCAGTGTAATGTGTGGTGTAATGTGTAGTGTAATGTGCAGTTTAATGTGCAGTGTAATGTGTAGTGTAATGTGTAGTGTAATGTGCAGTGTAATGTGCAGTGTAATGTGCAGTATAATGTGTAGTTTAATGTGTAGTGTAATGTGTAGTGTAATGTGCAGTGTAATGTGTAGTGTAATGTGTAGTGTAATGTGTAGTTTAATGTGTAGTGTAATGTGTAGTGTAATGTGTAGTGTAATGTGTAGTTCAATGTGTAGTGTAATGTGCAGTGTAATGTGTAGTGTAATGTGTAGTTTAATGTGTAGTGTAATGTGCAGTTTAATGTGTAGTGTAATGTGTAGTGTAATGTGTAGTTTAATGTGTGGTGTAATGTGTAGTGTAATGTGCAGTTTAATGTGCAGTGTAATGTGTAGTGTAATGTGTAGTGTAATGTGCAGTGTAATGTGCAGTGTAATGTGCAGTGTAATGTGTAGTTTAATGTGTAGTGTAATGTGTAGTGTAATGTGTAGTGTAATGTGTAGTGTAATGTGTAGTGTAATGTGTAGTGTAATGTGTAGTGTAATGTGTAGTTCAATGTGTAGTGTAATGTGCAGTGTAATGTGTAGTGTAATGTGTAGTTTAATGTGTAGTGTAATGTGCAGTTTAATGTGTAGTGTAATGTGTAGTTTAATGTGTAGTGTAATGTGTAGTGTAATGTGCAGTGTAATGTGCAGTGTAATGTGTAGTGTAATGTGTAGTTCAATGTGTAGTGTAATGTGCAGTGTAATGTGTAGTTTAATGTGTAGTGTAATGTGTAGTGTAATGTGCAGTGTAATGTGCAGTGTAATGTGTAGTGTAATGTGTAGTTCAATGTGTAGTGTAATAGCTGTTAACGTGTAGTAAGAGGTGAAATGAGAGCTGTGTTCAGTTTTGTTCAGTAGAGTGTAAGGGGTGAAGTGATGTGGTTGCGTTTGTTTGGATGCCACTTGTCAACTCTTAACAAGGGCTCGGTCACCGCTTTACAAGTCATCACTTTTCTCGCTTAATAATATACAATCACGTTATATGTTATATTTACATGGTACACATCTATATATCAGAACATTATAACGTAATACGGTCACACCCTTACATGTGTGTGTTTGTGTGTAAGTACAGTGACTACTGTTACAACTGTGCTAAAGCTGACTCAGTGATATAAATCTGTGGAACTTGGTGTAACGAACGTGTTGTGATTTGTTAATGTTGCAATAGCATGCTTCCTGAGCAGCGCTGCTTTGTACACAAGACACATTGACGCTTTACCATTTTATTTACGGTCTAACGGGATTTACGCTCTCATTTAAAACAGAAGATTCTGATCATCTAATTCGTGGCGTGATAGATTGGAAGAGAGCAATTTTTCATGATTTCAGCTATTTTTTTGGGATTATTCCAAATTTGTATCGTGGCAAGAGACCAGAGTCTAGGCTTGGTAAGGTGTAAAGTTAACTTTTGAAGAGAGTCTCGAATCACATTGAAAGCGATGTAACAGAGCCAATATATTTAATGTTGCCATGGGGTGGTAAGTCCCATTTCATTGCAGTTACTTAGTCCGGAGAGATCATAGTTACAGGGTTACTGCCTCTCATTATAATCGTCTTTGTCTTTGTCCCATTATATTTATAAACGTATTACAAACGAATTATCTGAAATTCACCCCTTCCATGTAGAATTATGTTTCAAAGTTAGATGTCAAATTAGTAAAAACAATCCAATTACCAATACAACAATCCCTGTACACTCGTGACTCGATCAAATATTTCTTGGCAGACACAGAGCTTGTTTCAAACTGCTTTGTTTTGTTTTATAAGACTGTATCATTGGAGAAGTGGATTTAAGGTTTTACCACGTTGCTAGAATCAATGTTTAAATATCACGCCGAAATTACAAGATTTTGCAAGAACTTATCGATGATGCCCATATTTGGATATTACAAATACCGTCTGATCATAAGATGGCTACTTTTAAAATAACAATTTAATTAAACAACTATGTTAACCTTTACATAGTTGTAATAAATAACTTAGGGCCCCCCTCCCCCCCCAACTTAATAATAATAACTGGAATGCCGCAGTTTCCGTAGCATAATATACCGCGAGCCATAAGTGGAATAATCTCATATTTTTTAGTAGCGTGAGCACCTTCGGCAGAAAATCAATTTCATGTTCTAATATTATAAATGTTTCCGCCGCGAATCAAACTCAAGATCATTAAAGAAAAATGGCCGCACGGCGCACACGTCGAGATAACTACTTCTGCTGCAGATAACTAACACTATGCTGCTCTTACAGATCTAAGCTTTGATCCTCATGATGGAAAATGAGACATTCTCTCACAAGTCGCACAATTTAGCCACGTCACCTTAGTCGCTGTTAGCACTCATCAACATTTGAAACTCATTACAACGACCTCCCCCAGCTCAGCTCAAATATTAAATCCTATGTTACACATTCAATCACGTCACACTCATTTACATATTTCATCGCTCCAAACAATGAATTTGCCACCCACATCACATCTTAGAGAAACACGCCCCCCGAATCTCGCTCGAGAATTTTACAAAGAAGAAAATCAAACAATGGACACCGCTCTGAAGAGCTTCCCCAGAGCTTGTGAAACTTCTCACAGTACGTTTTTTCTCCTGGCAGCATGCCAGAAATAATCAAACATACGAGATATTACTGACAGTGAGCGATACAAAGGATCTTATATATCATTATCATTGTGATACACTGATACGTGTGTGTGTGTGTGAGAGTTACAGTGCTAGCTTTCAACAACAGGCTAAAAGCTATGATGATAAAGACACATGTGTAATTCACTGTCAACGGTCCCATTATCACATCTTGTTAACCTATAATCTCTGTTACATTATATGCTAGTTGGACAACTGTTATAAATTGACTAAGAGTATTGACTATAACTATTGAGGTAACATCATATTCCAACATAGCATCTTACGTAATGCTAGCAAACCAGCTGCACTAGATTTTAATAATAACGGAGGCTGTAAGAAGTATTATCATATTTGCAGCAGTGCGGAGATTATGTACATGTGGTTGTGATGGTGTGTGTGTGTTATTGGCAGGTTACATGGCAACAACACACAATTCAAACTACCACATTTCCACATATTATTATGTGTGTAACTGTCATGTTGGTAGAGTCACGCACAGTGTGTCCGGTGTACTGACTACACAGCTGTGTTTACAGTGAAGAGGGTGTGAAGTGTGTTAACAACATCCTACACACGCAACCTCTATTAGCAACTCAGTTACTGAGTAAGTGTGCAGAATCTGTGATGTTATCTTATTAGTATCTGAGGTTACTGACATTTAACCTTCAATACAGCAACCTAAATGATTTGATTTTGTTTCTTTGAAAAATCCAATTTTACGTAGATATCAAAACACCTTAGATCAAAGATATGAGGGCAGGGACTAGCAACCAGCAACCAGGGTCGTGGGTGGGCATTTTTAATATTATAAGTCAGATTTTTTTGGTAATTACATATGTATACGGGTACCGGCCTTACAAAATGACAGGCCTCACAAAATGACAGCCCACATAGACCATGCTGTAGCTTAGGTTCCCTATACATTGAACCCTATTCCTTTTACTGTATGAAAGAAAAAGCATTAATTAACACTTCCCAAGGAATGATAATGACATAGAATCTATATTTCTTACATAAATATGGACGTTTTTGCTGTTCAGTCATTGCCCCGTCAAACTGTTACCCAGCATGGAGACCAAAGTTTAGAATTTAACCCCAGAAAACCAGGTACTACCATGACTTATGTCAATCAAAGACTACTCTGGTCAAATAAAAAAACTGATTTAGTGACTTTGGTAGAAGAAATGACAAAAAAATGACCTAGCCTCACAAAATGACAGTGTTATGCCTCACAAAATGACAGTTTTATTTTATGATACAAAGATGGCATATTTATATTGGATGCCCCTTGCCTAATTATTGGTATTCTTAAACCCAGTAAGCTTATGATGAGCCTAAATGTGTTTGTTTGATCATCAATTTTGAACAAAATGCCTCACAAAATGACACCGAAAAGCCTTACAAAATGACAATTTTTCAGATTGAATTACTTTCATCATCTAAAATGGATCAGAAACAGTCAATACAAGAAGGGGTTAAAAATAATCATCATCTGACAGTTAACAATCAAGTAGCATTAAAAAAGTGCAGTTCTGATATCAAAACTTTGATTTCAAACTCTTTGATTTCAAACTCTGATTTCAAAACTCAACGAAATAAAGCTTCTATTTTGTGAAAGCAGAGAGTAATAGCAACTCCTAAAACATGTTAAACGTTAACTAAACACTGAAAAGTGATCTATCCAGTCATTGAAAATATCAAATATAGCCAAATACTGTGTTCAAGTATGAAAACAAAAAATGATTTTTACGCCTCACAAAATGACATTTTTAAAATTTTTTCAAAGTATAAAAAATGTTCCTTTTTTAATATATTCTAGTAAAAACAGAACTGGTATAATATAAACAACATATATATCTAACAGTAAGTCACGTGAAAGAATAATGAAACTTTTTCCCAAATCGGATTTGAAGTGATGCCGTTTTGGGTTGTCATTTTGTAAGGCACTATCTCACGCAAAATTGCCCAACTTTTTTTAATCATCCTTTTTCCTGTAAAAGCTATTCTAATCTTCAATCTATTATATTTATCTAACTGTCTTAGGTGAAATCAAATTTCTATAGGCTGCTGTTAAAAAATTACAGCCGTGACGAAATTGTCATTTTGTAAGGCATGTTTTTTTGGAAGATTTCAAAGATGACAATTTTTATCGCAAAATTTACGGTTTTTCAATCAAATCAACCCCCGGGAAGAAAAATATACCTGT